GGAGCCGAGGCCGAAGCGCGCGCTGCCTGGGGCGGCCGTGGGCTGGCCGCAGCCCAGCTGCCGGCACACCACCTGGGCATCACTCAGGTCCCACCAGTCGTCGCACACCGTCCCCCAGCTGCTGCCATTGTACACCTCCACACGGCCCTCACAACCGTTCCTCCCGCCAGACAGCCGCAGGTGGGCACCTGGGGTGAGGCACATGTGTTAGGGTCTGTGCAGCCCAGCATCTAGTAGTCCCCAGATGGGCCCCTACAGCAGGGTGCCTGTATGGTTGCTGCAATGCCAAGGATGTGTCTGGTGGATGCATATTTCCCGTTGAATAAGGCTAGTCTGTGGTGGGCACTCAAATTACCAATGCAAGTAAAAATTTGGTGTCAATGAAAAAGGCTCTGAACACAGTCAGTGCATGTCATGCATCCTAAATTAACCTGTCTTCAAGGAGCCCTTGTCCTATGGCACTTCACATCATGCGGAGGTCTTTCATTCCATTGAAATGAGCATCGTGACTTCTTTGGTTCACACAGCCATCTGCTCCCTGGGTAGGAACCACATGCCCATGGAGGTCTTACTTGCATTACAAAATATTTGGTGCAGCAGCTCTCTCTTTTCCAGTCACATCCCAAATCCCAGAGCATGTCTAGGAAATAGCTATGTTACTACCCATGCAGGAACTGGGGGGGGCGAAGGCAGAATGATCCCCTGTTGCAATCCCCCCAGTTGCAGTCAGAGGAAATCCCTCCCTGAACAGTTTCCTTCACCAGCAATGGCTACAGAAGTCCTGGCCCCAAGCCTCAGACCCCCAGTTTACCAGCTCTTCTCCATGCTCTGTTTGCATCCTCACTGTGGACTTGGGTGCCAGGAATGGCCTAACTGGAGTGGGCCAGGGATGGGAGACTCCCTCCAGTGCAGTCAGGCCTGGGAAGGGAGATCAGGGGCACTAAGGAGAACAGTGAGTGACAGTGGACACAGTTACCTGGTGTGCCCCCCTCTGCTGTGGTAGCCGTTGTTGCTGTGGTGGTCATCTCTTCTAAGGGGGTCGTGTCTGCTATGGGGGTTGTCGGCACTGTGGTGGTTGTCTCTGCTAGGGAGGACTTTGGTGCTGTGGTGGTCGTTTCCGCTAGGGAGGTCATTGGGGCTGTGGTGGTCACCTCTACTAGGGAGGTCATCTCTGCTATGGGGGTTGTTTGTGCTGTAATGGTCATCTCTGCTAGAGAGGTCATTGGTGCTATGGTGGTTGTCTTCTCTGTGAAGGTCATCTCTGCTATGAAGGTTGTCTCCAGTGTTGAGGTTGTTGGCACTGTGGAGGCTGTCTGCGCTGTAGTGGTGTTTCCTGTGAATATGGAAGAAAAACATGACCCACATGAGGACCATGTTTGTGGAATGGGTACATCTGTGTGTTAGCTACAAGACCAGTTCCTCAAGAATGAAGTGAAATCATGATAAATTACTCTGATGGCATACTCCATCTTGACTGGGGTCAACGGAGAGAATGGAGGTGGGTAACAGCAAATTGAAAATTTTTCTTGAAAGTGATATTTCCAGATGGTGACAGCAGGGAAAGGTACTGATGTGGTACCTGCTCCCAGCCACAGGACGCCACGGCCCAGGAGCGGCTGGATGCTGTCCTCTACAGGCTCCTGCCATGAAGTCGGGAGCTGTAGGATTGCTGGCAGCAGCAGGGCTTGGACCTATTGCCATCGCAGATGCCCTTCTGCAGAGGCTTAGGTCATCCCCAGGAGCTGCCTGGGCAGCGGTCTTGGGGCGGTGCTTGGTGCAAGGCCAGGAGTGGATCAGGCCAGCATGAATCACCTGTTGAATACAGCCAGTCTGTCATAGGCACTGGAGCTACGAATGTAAGCAAGAAATAAATGGCATTTAAAAAGACACTGAACACAGCACGCATATGGTAATAGAGGTATTGGAGCAAGTGTTGTTGCTTTCTTCTAAGTGCAAAGCACTGATGTAGCTAACATTTTCTTCTAGCATGAATTCAACTCTCTAGACTCTTCCTCTTTGAGGAAATGCGAAAAACCGCAATATATATAAAACACCTGAACAACGTGTTGTCGTCAGCCATGTCTCAGTTCATGATGATCTGTTCTTAATACAGGAGAAAATAACATACAAATGAGCTACCTTTTCTTAAAAAATAAGGAGAAAGTAAAGTCAGAGAACAGCAAGGTGACAGAGTACTCAAAATGGATGGATATTTGTAAAGGAAAAGAATATTAATGGAAAATTTGAAAAATAGAGAAACAATGCAAAGTGAGTTGTCAGCTATGGCAGTTTGGGTTGTGACTGTGAAATTGTTATTGCCCATAATGAATGCATTAAGGCTTGCAATGAGATGAGTTTCACCTAACCCTATTCCTCCCTGATGAGCATTGCCTATCAGACATAGTTTTGCCTCTAATTTCAACTTGTTTCCTTATTGTCCTTGTCACTACTGGGTGATTAGATGTAATAAAAGTTCTGCATATTGCAATGCATATCTGATCCTTGGGTTTTTAAGTTGCTTTGCATGGGGCGAGCAAGCACAGTTTGTATACTACCCCAGTGAGAAAAACATGAGTCCATGCTGGCTCTGCAGGGTCAGTGGAGTGCAAAGACAGGGTTGTTAGAAGATCAGCCTCTGCTTCTTGAGAACAGGCCTTTTCAGAGGGAGTGTGCCCTTCCACAGATGATAGAAAATTCTTCATAATAAAGTAGAAAGAAAGATTAGACATATATCTGGTATATCTGGTATAACTTTCCACCATATGTCTTGAATGAATGAAATGTTATCTCAGGAGGAGAATGTCTGCATACCCCCATGCCGACACATGTATATTGAGTGGAATTTATAGCAAAAGTTTTTAGACAAGAAAAATGTGACAGCACCTTTGTTTCTTCAAATATCTACTTGGACATGCACATTTTTGAACCACACTCATAGGATTTTTGAGAAGTGAAACAGCAAACCTGGCAAAAAGTCAGAGTGAGATTAGGAAATTAAAGCTGATCTAAAACAGTTTTATTTGCTTTCATTCAGGGTCTGTCATCACTGTGAGACCATAACCATCAGCTGGGCATGTAATTAGATAGTTTGCGTCCTGCCTGTACACTTTAAAGGTGTCAAAAAGACAAAAGCCTGTGATTATACAAATACAGCACTTACTCTGATCCAGGAGACAGAGGTAGGGGCTGGGGAATGAAGCCAAGAGCAGAGAGAAGAACTGGAGCAGCAAGAGTGAGATGGCTTATCACCAGGCAAGCAGAGGACAGGTGAAGAAAAATGGATGAGGTGGATGATGGCAATATAAATTATCATAATAATGCTTAAATAACTAGTTAGAAAAATAATCTGCAATTATTCTAGGATATACATAGAACTATTTAGCTCAAAGTGACCTAAGTCACTTAGGAGATAGAAACTAATAATGTAAGGAAAAAGTCAATGACAAAAAAAAGTTGAACTAAAAGCATTTCATGTCTTTCATTATTTTTAGATGTCCTTCATTTATCCACAGTGCTAGATTATGAAAACTGACTTCTTGCAATATTTCATTAAATTGTACATAAGACCAAGAAGAATCAAATAATGCAATCAATATTAGATATATAACATAGGTATGTGTCCATATACTCTGGAATAAATATACATTTAAAAAAAAAATTCTTCCGTAATTCTTAGATCAAATTTCTGGAACTGGAAGAATGACTCGTTCAGAACATACTCACAGACACAAGTATCTCAATGATACAAGACACTAAGACAAGTACTACCCTGTGGCAGCAAAATGAACTCCACTAAATGGTTTAAACCATTCTTATCAATCACTAGGATGATTAGTTCATAATTTTAGTAGAACAAAACTGTGTTATCTCTTTCATCCAATTTCCCCTTTAATCTTTTGCCCAAACTGATACAAGCATGAATACAATTTCTATTCACGGAATCAACAGAGACGACCCCAAACAGTCTTTATATTTTTTTTTTGTGCACCCTGGAACAAGTCTAAATGCTTTACCTGATTTGGTCTCTAGAACTGCTGGACCTAACAAGAGTAGCCATGTCAAAATCATAGTGGTACCCATCTCATCAAGTGCTGTTGACAGAAAGGACCATCAGAATATATAGTCTCTATTTCTGAAGGGGAGTGGCTCTATAGGTTACTCTTTCGACAGGCGAACAATAAAACAACTACAGTCCTATGATCTGAAACAAAAATATGTTTGATTTGTTATTCAAGATTTTGTAACTTCCTGGGTTTTGCAGAAACATAATATCTCAAGAGTAACATTTTCCACTGCCTGGAAGGAAATATTTATGCTGCTATAGGTTTCACAATCATCTCATTGTACATAGAAAATGAGCTCCTATCCAAAGATACCTTCCAATTCTGGCCAATGAATCTCAGTATTTTTCTTTTATGGGGAGATTCCTTGGTAGGTCTGGGGAAGGTAGTGGAATCTTGAAATGTTAAAGGGTTTCCTCAAGTAAAGTAATAAAAGAGCTTCATAACTTGGTTCCAACTAGTGAGGCAAGTGTCCTTGGTGAGCCATGAATTTCTTACAGGTTTGGCATACTCAAATAAAATAAGATAGGACCTGGTGGCCCTGTTCCAGTATGTCTGGGGGGTCTCTGAACATAACCCACCAGAACTGTGGCTGTTGCTGAATGCAACATGAAGATAACCGAGACGCACTTAATTGAGACAGTTGCATCCTATCAAAATTGCTAGCTCCACCACACCATCAATTCCTCTGCCATCAGTAGCAGAGCCAACAAGAAGAAGGTTAAGGTAGGAGGTGGCTGCAGCCTCTTGGTGGATGTAGGAACCACTGGAGAGGCAATGTGGTGGAGATGTGAGGAAAGGAGAGGAGGCAATCAGTGGCCCTGGGCTGAGCTACTAGTCTAGGACCTGGGAAAAGAGAGTTGGAGTGGCACCAAGAGAACCTGACTTGAGAGAGGCATGAAATATTGCTTGCTAGTTTCCTTGCTTGAAAGCCACAGCCGTAAGTGGATGGGAGCACACACCATAGTGTGTAAGTGATAAGATTGCCTCAACACGTGGGTGATTTGCTCCAGATAGATAATTAAGGAGAGAGACTGAACCAAGCCTTGTAAGCAAATCACTATGAGATACCTGAAGAACCTTGCAGTTGAAGTCAACACCTCCAGCCCCAATATGAACCCATTCCT